AATTCACACCCCTTACCTAGTTCCACTTCCATCCTCAACTCCCAATATCTATTTGGTTTCTGAATACTAATTTTAAACACATGGATCTTTCAGTGGCTTTGTGTTGTATTTACATCATCCTGCATAATCTAGCTCCTGCCAACTTCTTCAGACTCATCTTGGGTCACTCCTTCCCTCACTAAATATGCACCGATCACACTGCCTTTCTTTTAGGAAAGACCAAGCTTTCGGCCCTCTGAAGAGTTCATATACTCCCTTAGTCTGGGATGTTCTAGCTCCCTTTCACTCCTTCTTCCCTTGGTTTTCTTCTTTAGGTCTTGGATTAAACACCCCTTTTTGAGAAAGGCTTTCTAATAAAACCTCTCTGGAGTGCTGGTGGCTCAAGCTTGTAATTCTATCTACAGCGATTAGGAGGATCACGGTTTGAAGCCAGCTGGGGCAAATAATTTTTGAGACCCTGCTTCAAAAAAACTCATTACAAAAAAGGGCTGGAGGAGTGGCTCAAGGTTAGGCTCTGAGTTTAAACCCCAGTACCACACACACACAAAAAAATCCTCTATTATTTCCTATCACTATACCAGGTTAATTTCTTCTTTATAACTATTATAATTTGAAAATGTTTTATTTACTTATTCTGTTTTTCTCACTCTTCTATGGTCTCCATAAAACTGAGACATTTCTGCTTTATACACATAATGCTTAATTTACTCCTGGCACATAATTAGGGCTCAAAATATATTTATGGAGTGACTGATCTAGTGAATGGATTCCTCTTAGCCTCTGCTTATTTAGTTTCTGCTCCCTTATAATTTAGTTTGTACATGACCTTTCATAGCAACAGCTCTAACTCCCTCTTCCAGACACTAATTCTTCCTTTGCTGATTTGCTAGGAATGGTCCGGTGCCTGATACTGTTGCAGTTAGCTGTGGCAAGGCAAAGCTAAGTGAGTGTTGCAGAATAAAAGTGGGACAGCTAAGGTGGCTCCTTAAAGAGGGGCATTGGAGGGGGCTGGCAGAGCGGCTCAATTAGTAGAGAGCCTGCCTGGCAAGCATGAGGCCCTGAGTTTGAGTTCCAGCAACACTAACAAAAAAAAAAAAGAGGGGCATTGGATAAAGTTACACCTGAAAAGAGCTGTGAGGTGTACCATGATGGGCATGTTCAGTGAAAGAAACATCACTATATTTTCCTTTTCTGTGCAATCAATCTTTTTTTTTTTTTTTGCGGTACTGGAGCTTGAACTCAGGGCCTACACCTTGAGCCACTCCAGCAGCCCTTTTTTGTGATGGGTTTTTTTTGAGATAGGGTCTCATGGACTATTTGCCTGGGTTGACTTTGAACCACAATCCTCCCAATCGCTGCCTCTGGAGTAGTAAGGATTATAGGCGTGAGCCACTGGTGCCTGGCATAATGAATCATTTTGAAAATCTGAACTACCAAAGATTACTAGTACTCAGGACTCCATTCAGATTACATCATTTGGAAATGCTTTAATAAAACCATAGTTTGAGTTTATGTTTATATAATCCCTGTTCTTCTTCGGTTATGTGTATAAACTTTATGGCTTCTTATAATTTAATGCATCACCTTCCATTGTTAAAATTGAAGTAAAAAAGCAAAAATGAGACAGCTTCAAATGTTAGTGAAAAAATGCTAACCAATAGAAAGAATGTCTAACATTTGTGTATTTAAAACATAACCTTTAAAAAAACATTGATTTTTAGAGCACTTTAAGCTTTATAGAAAAATGAATAGAAATCATAGTTGTGATATACCACCTTACCAGCTCCACTTTTTCCTATCAACATAGTTCATTATTTGGCACATTTGTTACAACTGGCAAACCAGTACTGATACATCTTATTAACTAAAGGATATAGCTTACATTAGTCTTCTTTTTTTTTTCCTCCCAATACTGGCATTTGAACTCATGGCCTTGTGCTTGCCTGGCAAGCACTCTGTCTTTTTGTTGCTTTAGAGCTAATTTCTTTATAGCACTAAATGATATTCTATTCTGAATGTATCACAGTTTGATTATCCACTCACCTACTGAATGACATCTAGGTTGCTTCCAATTTTTGGCAATTATGAACAAAGTTGCTGTAAGCTGTGCAGATTGTTAGGTAGACATTTGATTTCAAATCATTGAAGCAAATACCAAGGATGATGAATTGTACGGTAAGAGTATTCTTAACTTGCAAGAAGCTGCCAAAGCATCTTATAAAGTGGCTGCACACCTTGCATCTCCACCAGCAATTAATGAGAGTTCCTGTGGCTCTATATAGTCACTAACATTTAGCATTGTTGTGTTTTGGATTTTGGTCATCTCATTGATATCTTAATTTTCAATTCGTAAATGATGTAAGATATTGAGCACCTTTTCAGATGTTTATTTGCCATCTGTCTTTTCTCTTTGGTGAGCTATCTGAGCTATCTGTTCAGATATTTTATTTTTTTAAATAGGTTATTTTCTTATTGTGAGTTTTAAGAATTCCCTATATATTTTGGATAACAGTCCTTTACCATATATGTCTTTAGCAAAGTTTTTTTTTTTTTTTTTTTTTTTTGTGGTACTGGAGCTTGACCTCAGGGCCTATGCCTTGAGCCATTCCACCTTTTTTTGTGATGGTTTTTTTTTTTTTTTTTTTGAGATAGGGTCTCAGGAACTATTTGCCCAGATTGGCTTCAAACCAGGATCCTCCTAAACTCTGCCTCCTGAGCAGCTACAGGCATGAGCCACCTGTGCCAGGCTTTTGCAAAGATTTTCTTCCCAGTCTGTGGCTTGGCTTTTCATTCTCTAGACAGTGTCTTCCTCAGAATAGATTTTTAAAACATTAACATACCAGGAGGAAGGTTAGGGCAGGGTAGGAGAAGGGAGAGAGAGGAGTGGATATAGAGGGAGGAAGGGAGAGAAACAGGAAGGACTTGGGCTTGCTTTTTGAATGGATTCAGGAGAGCTGCAAGTGTAGATGAATCTGTAGATGAATCAAGACACTATATTATTAGTACATGTGGTAAATGACGGCGGCTTTTAGTTGTTGCAATGCAGATGTGGTGAAATCTTTGGGAGACAATTGACAAGACTTGATTTACTGATACAGCAGTGGGGGGAAGATGTCTTGAATGACTCCTTTTCCAACTCTTGTGGCTGTATGCTTGTGGACGATTTTAATCCAGATAGTAACTCTGGAGATGAATGATTATGGGAATGATCAGGAGCTTAATTTCTTGAAATGCTGATTTAGAGTGCCAGAAAGCCTACAAAAAGGTCTAAGGCACTGAAGGAAAGGCGTTTGAAGGTAGTTATTTTAATTTGGGATTCTAACAGCATGGCTGAGGTACAGGCACTTCTTAAAAAGAACTTTTTCAGGAAACCCTAAATAAAAAGCTTTGCATGTTTCAGACCTATTATTTACACTTTGCTTAATCCACAGTGTTAGTACATTTTTATTATATTTTTCTATTAAACTTTAGTTATTTTTCATTTATATCATTATCCACATTTTTGGATTGTGAACTAAAATCCCTGTGGCTGAATTAGCCAATATCACAGCAGGTACACGTTTGATAGTAAGGGATTTCAGGTAGTGGAAATCTCAAGATCCTTACTAAACAGGTTGGCTACATAGTACTTTAGCCAAAAAGTATTTCATATTTGACCCAGGTACCTATGAAAACAGCTCCATCTTATGTGCCCATGGACTTTGAAGAGTGTATCTCTACCTTTTGCTCTAACCACAGCATAGGGCTCACTTGGGGAACTAGCGTGCTCTTAAAAATAATCACTTCAATCAAAAGGGTATTAGTATTTTTCATTGCAGCTGCATTGGATAAAATTAGTATCCATATCTCATCTGAAATTCAAATGCCTTTGTCTTATCTTTCTTGTACCTTGTAAATGGCTACAAAAGAAATGTCACTTCACTCAAGATTTAGTTGCTAAGAATTTTGAAAAGAAACACGTTATTTTCCTCGGAGTTGTCCTAACCACGCAGTTTTGGGCTGTTGCAAGTTGCTCAAACTATGCCAGGAGGAGCCCTAACTGCTTAAAAGGCCAGGGACAGAAACGGAATATTGCACAACCCTTCACCGGGCGGTTTCGCTTCCAAATCTGGCCTACATGTCATCCCGAGGCGGGAGCAGCTCAGGGCTCCACGGGAGCCCGCCCGGTTCCCCCTCAAAAGCAGATCGGGATTTCCTTGTCCCAGCCTGGGGCGCTCCTCCCTTTGCCGAAGGTTGTTGTGAAAGAGGAGCCGCGCGCCCCGGGATGCCCTGTTGTCCAGCTGGGGAACCCGGGTTCCCCGGGCGACTCCCGCACTCCAGTCCTTCCACTCGGAGGACCAAAGGTCCGCGGGTCTCCGCGCCGCTCCCCTCCCCCGCGGCCCCATTGTCTGCCTCGCCCCGCCCCGGGGGACACGTGCGCCTGCAGCTTCCCGAGCGAGGAAAGCGAGAGGTGGCGGCGGCGTGGACACCGCTTGGAATTACTGCGCGTCGGTGGCGGTGCGCACCGACCGGTGGGTGTCCTCCCGGAGCCGCGGTCGCACTTCGCTCCCCACGCCTTGTGCTCCCCAGCCCCGGCCGGGTGGGGCGGGAGAGAGCTCGGGCTGGATGGCGTGCGCGTGGGACTGCGGTGGGGGTGGGGCGGGGCGGGGTGGGGAGATGCCTGTCTCCTGACAAAGGAGAACGAGTGGGACACGCTGAGCCGGCCCGCCCCGCTTGGAGGGGAGCAGGAGGGGGAGTGTCGGAGGGGAAGGGGCGGGCCTTTCATTCACTCTCGGCCCCTCGGCCGCCGCCGGAGCGGAAGGGCGGGGTCTCGTGCGCCCCCTCCCGGTGAGGCGCGAGGGGGGCGGTGTGGCGTGGGGGCGGAGCCGCGGGCGCGCGTCCTAAGGCGTAGGCTACGTCGTCACGTCAGCGCGGGAGAGAGAAAGAGAGGAGCGGACTCGGCAGGGACTGGGGGATAGGGCCGAGAGAGCTAGCGAGGGAGGGAGAGAACGAGAGTGCGAACGAGGAAGGGAAAGGCGGCCACTCGTGCCTGAGCGGCCGCGGACAGCAGTGGGAACGGTGGGGGAGAGGAATAGGGAGGGAAAGAAGGCAGGCCGAGAGGAGAAGGAGGACGGCGGCTGGTGGAGGTGGTAGGGATTGAAGGAGGAGCTGAAGGAGGGCACGGGCAGAGAGGGAGTGAGTGAGAGAAGAGGACGCGCGAGGGAGGGGAGGGAAGGGGGGGGGTCACGCGGGGGCGCGCGCGCGCACCGTGAGCGCGCTCGGAGGCGAGTGGAACTGGATCGGGTTTGCTGCCAGCGGCGTGAGCTTCGGCCGCCATTTTACAACAGCTCCACTCGCGCCGGACACAGGGAGCAGCGAGCACGCGTTTCCCGCAGCCCGATCCCCTCGGACAGGATTCCTCTGCCTCAGCCCAACGGGGAGGTAACGACCGCCAGGACCCGGGTCTGGGGGGGAGGGGGCTCCATGACATCGTGGAGTGAGCTGAGGGGAGAGTGGCACCGGGAGAAACCGGCTTTTCTGGAAAATGGATTCCAAGGGGGAGAGGAGCACGTTGACTGGGGCTGCCTGGGAGTAGGCCGCGGCCCAAGCCTGCACTTCCTCCTCTCCATGTGCTGCCACTGTTGGGGCTTTGTCTGCGGCGCTCCGGGAGGAGGTGCCTTCGTGGCCCGCGCGGACTGCGGGCGGCGGCGGAGTTGGTGCTGTCGTGGCCGTCGCCGCGGCGCGGGAGTGGGCGGAGAGGCGCCGGTCCCGTCCCGCAGCCGTGCGGCGGGCTTGGGCGGTGCTCGGGGGTCCCGCGGGCGTGGGGCTGTCCGCGGAACGCCCTCACGCCGCGGCTTGTCGGCCCCGGCGCTGCAGTGGCTGCACCGCGGGGCGGGGGCTTTGCGCCGCGGGTCACGTCGCGGCCGGGCCGGGCGGGCGGCCGGGGGTCGCCGGCGTCGGGGAGCGCCCGGGGCAGAGAGCCATGTGTCACGGCGGAGACGGCGGCGCTGGGGGGCGGGGAGAGCCCGTGGTCTGGCGCCGTCGCGGCCTCGGTGATGAGGGGCGAGGTTGTGCTGCTGTAGCTGTCGGGGGGCTCCGGCCGCGGCTGCGGGTTGATGTTAGGAGCCGGTGAAGGTCGTCTTGGCCCGGGACTCGGTGGGTTTCTGTGGTAGGAAGTTGTAGGGCATTTGAAGGCGCAGAGCACGTGTTTCTAATGGGCTCCTGGCGGCCGCAGTGGTGAGGCTGCCGCTTAGGGTGCGGAGTCGGGGGCGGGCTTTGGGGTGTGGGGTGAAGGGTGGAGAAATTGGGTGGTGGGAAGGTGGCTTGTGTGAGCGCTTTGTTCTTCGCTGGCTGTTGTTACCGATCTATAAGCGGCAGGCGGGAAAAGCGCGCACTTTAGGGTTTTACCTTGGAGAGGGGCGAACCCAGCTTTGCTTTCTTCACATACACCTTATTCGTTCTGGAGCGGCTGCATGTGGCACGCTGGCTCGTCCTCGTGCTGATTGGGGTTCGTTTGGAATACGGTTTTTACTAGGGAGTGTTAGCAGGTGAGTCAGGGGTGGTGCTTAGGAAGAATATAGTGAAGAGGTCTTTCTGTGCCCCGGGCTTCAAATCTGGCTTGTCAGGCGATAGTGACTTTAAGGTTTTTTTCCAAGGGAGGTGCAGGCTGGCTGGTGTCGTAAAGTGGTAGAGAAAGTCAAGATTGGGGCTCTCATATTGTCCTCTATTCTTTTTGAAGATCCTAGTTTAATTTTGCTTATTGCGTTTGAACAGATCTCTGGAAACATGGCTACAGAACATGTTAATGGAAATGGTACTGAAGAGCCCATGGATACTACTTCTGCAGTTATCCATTCAGAAAATTTTCAGACATTGCTTGATGCTGGTTTACCACAGAAAGTTGCTGAAAAACTAGATGAAATTTACGTTGCAGGTAAGAACTAACACTTGCAAAATTACATTATGAAATTTTTCTATTGGATTTCTGGCTTTGAGCTAAAATAGCAACTTTTTGTGGTTTCCAATAACTGTGGGAATTGGAGCTTTGCCTTGTTCTGATAGTTGGTTATTAGATGTGAACTAGAGGTTGAGGTGTATAAAGGGAGGGAAGAAGGAAGGGCTAGGCCCTCCCTAGGGGAAGGCTGGCTGGCCTGATGGATAAGTATATGATAGTACCAACAGCTGTTAAATGTTGGGAGCAGACCATGTGACTTTTTTGGGTATTTTTATAGTAGGATTCTTGTTAAATATCTCGGTAACTGTAGACTTGTTCTGTTGTCTTTCTTGGTGTGGTGGTTCCTTTTCTAGTGGCACTTGTAATGGAGTTGAAGTTCAGTTGTCATGCTTGGTATTTTGTTGGTTGACTTTAGGATTTGCAGGCGTATATGTTTACGGTAGAAATAATTGTTTTGTTTAGAACTATCCTACTTGGACACAAAACGGAACATAAAATGGTTTGATTATTGTGTGGTCTAGAGGCCTTATTTAGCTCAATGGCTAAAGTATGTTTTTAATTTAGATAAGGGAGGTAGAATTGTCACACATGTTCCTGTATTGACCAATACAGGTTTTTCTAAAAAATGTTTTTCCCAAAAAATGTTAAAAGTGGATAACTAATGAAATTTTCTCTTTTCCAGGGCTAGTTGCACATAGTGATTTAGATGAAAGAGCTATCGAAGCTTTAAAAGAGTTCAATGAAGACGGCGCATTGGCAGTTCTTCAACAGTTTAAAGACAGTGATCTCTCTCATGTTCAGGTAATGTAAATTTAATGTCAGTGTACAAAGAATTTAAAAAATTTGAATAGTTTTGATATGCTCATTTAAATTTTATTAGATGCAGATAATTGTTAAATATGAATGGAAAATCTCTTCACAGAACAAAAGTGCCTTTTTATGTGGAGTCATGAAGACTTACAGACAGAGAGAAAAACAGGGGACCAAAGTAGCGGACTCTAGTAAAGGACCAGATGAGGCAAAAATTAAGGTATGTCTTTAAAAATTCTGTTTAGCTTTAAAGTTTTTTCCATTTTCTAGCTTTGGTAAATATTTTGTGTTAAGTGCATGTGTGCCTATATTTGAGATTATTAATTTTTTTCTAATTGCTGTTTATTGTAAAGTATCCACCCTTGATTACTTGTTTCAAAAATAATTCATTGTTCTTGTTACCCAGCAACTGATGTTTAAATCTGTGCTATTAATATTCCAAATAAGATTTCAAGAAATAAGAATAAAGTTTTTTTGGGGATGGGGAGTGGTACTGGGATTTGAACTCAAGGTTTCACACTTGCTGTGCAGGCATTCTGCCATTTGAGCCACTCCACCAGCTCTCAGATTTAAAGAAATATATCTATGGCCTTTTTTGTGGGGAAGGGATGGTACTGAGATTTGAACTCAGGGTTTCATGCTTGCTATGCAGGCACTCTACCACTTGAGCCATTCCACCAGCTCCTGTTAAATGTCTGCATGCTTTTTTGAAAGGGTACAAGTCCAAGTTACTGATAGTCATTCTGAATTGAAAGGAAATCAGTTCACTTCATTGCTGTTGGAGAGTGTACATTTAGTACCTGGTTGCTCTTAGGCTCAGACCTCAATGAATTTGGAATTTTTAGTGTTTTTAATTTGTATGGGTTATTAAGGTTACATTGTTTATTTCTAAAAACAGTTTTTAACAATAAGATTGAGTGTGGAAATTAAATGAAGAAATAAGCTGAGAGTGAAAGGCCTTTTTGGTTGGTTTTTAGGTCATAGAAGATTAAATGGTCTCAGATTTAAAGGTTTTGATTTTGTTTTGGTTTTAGTTTAAGTTCCTAGCAAGTATGTTTGTGCTGGTTTTTAATTTGCTGCTTTTTAATAGTATGCCATGTTCTTGAGACCAGGGTTATGGTTTAAGAAAATCAGTGATTAGGAAGGGCATATGTTGTGTGGTGCTTAATGTTATGGAGAAAATTGGAATGTAAAGGTAGCTGTTTACCACAACCATGAATTTGAGGCTGTGGGTGAATTGAGTTTGAACTATAAATCTAGATTTTTCCATTAAAAGTGGGGTTATGTTGTCTCCATTGTAATTATGCCAGTTGTAATTAAGTCTACATTGAATTCGGGATTTATTAAAATTCTGTGAAAAAAATTAGTTTGTGTGACTTTCAGTTCTGTCTTTGGATGGAAGGGGCTTAAAGCTTTAGTTGAAACTTAAATTGTGCCTGAAAAATAGGCACAGGGAATAAGTTTGTCCTTTTGTTTCTGTAGAATTACCAGAGATCTTACTTGGCTCAAATAAAGGTAAAGATTAAAAAAAAAAAAAAAGTTGAGCTCCCTTTGTGAAAAGGAAAAATGATCCTCAATTATGGTTTAGTTTGTAATAGTCATAGATGTTAGTTTTAGTTACCCAGTATTGCACCATTAAGTATTCATATTTGGGTGTAATAGAAAAAGGAGATTAGAATATGTAGCTTTTTGTTATAAAGTGTAAGAATAAAGGATTTTTCTTAATGGATTACAGTATTTTCATAAGTTACAATATTTTCTTGTTTGAGGTGTTAAAGATCAGGGCCATTGAGTATGCTAGGCAAATGCTGTACCACTGAGCCACATCGTCAGTCCCACAGTTTCATATCTTAATGTTATTTGAGTAGAAAATGTTAATTCATTTTTACTTTTCGTCACTGAGCAGACCCTAAGTCATTTAACAACTCTTAGATAAGTTTTGTCATGGTTGGTACCAATTGTCTTTTTATTTCTGAATTGCTAGCTAATTAATAAAATGGTTTTATTGTTTAGAAAAGTGGTTTTGTTTCAAGGTTGAGATGGTAGAGAAGGGGAAAAATCTGGACATTTTTCTTACAGCTTAATGAGTTACTTCTTCATAGTTCTTTAATCTGTAGTAACAGATGAAGAAAAACTCCTAATCCTTTGAGTTTGAACTCAGGGCTTCATGCTTGGTAGGCTCTCCATTTGACCCACAACTCCAGACCTTTTTGCTCTGGTAATTTTTGAGATATTTTCTCAATTTTTTTGAACGCTGGTCTGAAAGGCAATCATCCTGTTTATGGTTCCAGCAATAGTAGCTGGAATGAGATGCTTACCTGCCACCATGCTTAGCCTTTTCTGTTAAGATGGGATCTCACACTCCCATCCCCCCCAAAACTGTGATCCTCCAGGGTGGCTGAGATGACAGGAGTTGGCTGCTGTGCCCAGCTAGTGGTTGAGATGGAAGAGGTCTCACAAACTTTTGCCCTGGCCGGTTTCCAACCATAATCCTCCCAATCTCTGCCTGTGGAGTAGCTAGGATTATAGGCAAATTGTGTAAATTTTAACAGTTCACTTTGAGGAAGATTAAATGTAGAAGTTAGGTTGTATTGTTGTATTTCATGACTTTTTCAAAGTCATTTTGGCAGTTTTTTCCTGAAATGATCCATGCTGTCCTTTAATGTTAAGGAATAAGAGGTTCCTCTTGCTGTAGCTCCCAAGTTTCTAGACTTGGTTTTGGGAAGTAAAATATCTTCAGAGGTTGGGAAAATGCCCAGAATGGTAGTGTATGCCTACCAATAGGGTACAGGGAATTTATTAGGTAAGAAATCCAGAGTTGGGATATACTCAGTCACATTTGGTGCAGTGTTTTTGTTTGTTTTTTTGAGACAGGGCATGAACTATGTAACAAAAGACCAGGGTTTTGTTTTTGTAGCCCAGGATAACCTTGAACTAAAGTCCTCCTGTCTTAATCTCCCGAGTGCTGGGATTATAGGCATTTATGAGGTACGTATTAGCAGAGTAGATAAATTGTAGCTGGTGGATTAATAAAGAATTTTGACTACTCAGTTATTATTTGCACAGGATCCTAAAATTGGACAAGTTAGGAGTGTAGCAAGTATGCATTAGAGAGGAAATTCTAAAACAGACCCCAGAAAATACGTATTATTGGTGAATGTTGCTAGAAGAACAAAATGATTATAACTGCTAAATGTATTAGTATAGTCTAGTGAATTAAATGTATTAATGATATTTGACCTTTTTAAGGCACTCTTGGAAAGAACAGGCTACACACTCGATGTGACCACTGGACAGAGGAAATATGGGGGACCGCCTCCAGATTCCGTTTATTCAGGTCAGCAGCCTTCTGTTGGCACTGAGGTAAAGAAACTAAAAACTTGTACCTTTTGTAGTAAAAGCACAGGTAATCTGGTTTCCTAAAGAATCTCCATGGTTTTTACTTCATATTTAATTTACAGATATTTGTGGGAAAGATCCCAAGAGATCTATTTGAGGATGAGCTTGTTCCATTATTTGAGAAAGCTGGACCTATATGGGATCTTCGTCTAATGATGGATCCACTCACGGGTCTCAATAGAGGTTATGCGTTCGTCACTTTTTGTACAAAAGAAGCAGCTCAGGAGGCTGTGAAACTGGTAAGTTCTCCCTACCCTCCTCCTTTAGTCTTTACATTGATGTTCCAGTGGCGGTTTTTTTTTTTTTTCCCCCCATTGTGCTGTAAGAGTTAACCAGACATTTTTTGAAGTGCTGATTAGGCAGTGTGTCTTAACTTGCTATGTAAACATAGCAGTATTCTTTGCATGGATTGTGATGAGATTCAGAATCTGTAACATAGTATTATAAAACTCCTACTTATTAGTTATTTAGAACATCTGGCTTAGTGATTTTTTTCTATTTAATTTATAGGAATGCGAAAACGTTTATGCAAATAACTGATAGGGGTTCCATAGATCCTGTCTACACCTAGGCCATTTTTTTTTTTCCTCCAGAAATTCACAAAGACATTGTGATGATAAATGATTAGGTAGTGACAAAGGATTTTGTGGTGAGTGGCAGTACTTAATTTAAAAATACCAGACGTTAGTTCAGGACATTTTTATTTTTAGAAAAGAAGTTTTAATGTTTTAAACTGTGTTTTGTATAGCTTCCAACTAGCTTCATTAAATGCTGTGAATAAGTTAAGTTTCTGTAATTTAAAGTATATGGACCAGTAGTCAGTTAAAACTTATGAAATATATTAACAGATACAACTAGGGAGAGTTTTCTGTAGGTAGGTAGCTCACTGCTAATTTGACTGTATCTGGCTTCCTATTATTTATTTATTTATTTATGGCAGTACTGGGGTTTGAACTCAGGGCCTCTTGTGTGCTAGGCAATATGCTCTACCACTTGGGCCATGCCTCCAGCCCTTGCTTCAGTTACTGTACAGAATAGGGTTTGCTGATTTGGTGGCAGCTAGCTTCGGACCAAGATCCTCCTGCCCATACCTCCCAAGTAACTGGGATCACAGGCGTGTGTACCACCATACCTTCCTTGTCGGTTGAGGTGGGTCTTTGCAACATTCTGCAGGGGCTGGCCACAAAGCTGCTGTCCTCATCTTTGCCTCCCACATACCTGGGATTATAGATTTAGGCCACTGTGCTTGGCTTGGCTTTTCTCTTTTGTGGGTAATTCTGAGCAAACAAGGGCTGGGGATATAGCTCGGTGATAGAATACTTGCCTAGCTTTGCACAAGGCCCTAGGTTCTGATCCCAGGGACACGCACGCGCACACACACACACACACACACACACACACCCAAAAAAAACTTCTTGTAATTCTAAGCAAACTTAAAATCTTCTGATCGATTTCTTCAGATTTTTTTCTTCTTTCTTACCATCATATCTGTACTGTGAGTGTCACTTCTCAAAAATACTTGGCTTTGGAAGTATTTCAGATTTTAGAGTTTTGGACTTAGGTCTTAGTAATTAGCAATTCCAAGTCCAAAATTCTGATGTGCTCCAAAATCCAAAACTTTCTGTGTATCTTGTTTGAATTTTTGATTTTTAGATTTGGGATGCTCAACATTTTAAAGTAGACATTAGGGAGAAAAATAAAACTTGCCATTCTATATTGCTTGAATCTCCACTGATAATGTATCACTGAATGTGAAGGCTTAACATTAGAAAAGTGTGCTTTTGAAAGAGTAGAGATCGGAACCTAGGGCCTTGTGCAAAGCTATCACGTGTTCTACTACTGAGCTTTATCTAGAGTCTTTAAGGAGAATTGAGGAATTTAGGTGCTTTTAGAATCATGGCTGACTTTTCCCTCAAAATAATGCTGCTTATTTCAGAGGGGATAGAGCTCTGTAAGGAGCCATGCACTGGCTTCTTTGGTAGCCTTTGAACAGTCAAAAATTTTCATTTCAGTAGTTAGATGAAATGATTTTTTGGAGCTCTAGAAGTACTTGAAATCATCTGTTTAATGTCTTAACGAAAGAATAGTACATTTTAGCCATGAAGTGGCAGTGAGGTGTTTTTTTTTTTTCTTGTTTTGTTCTCTTTTGTTTTTTGAGTGGTACTGGGGTTGAACACATGCTTCCCTCTGTATGCACTACTTGAGCCAGGTCCCCCCGCCAGCCATTTTTGCTCTTGTTAGTTTTCAGGTAGGGTCTGACACTTTTTGCCTGGCTGGCTTTGGTCCATGATCTTTCATCTCCCTCGAGCAGAAAACAAGTGTGTTTGTTGAGATGGGGGTTTTGCTAACTTTTTGCCCTCTGGCCTTGATCATCCCAATTTCTGCCTCCCAAGTAGCTGGGATTGCAGGCATGCACCATTGTGCCTAGCTCAGAAGTTTTAATGTGAAAATGCAGAATGATGGCAAAGACAAGGAAAAAGTTAATATAGAATTTAGCTAGTGATGTTAGACCTGTCTTTTTCAACATTAAAAAAGAATCATTAAGTAGGGCCCTGGTGGCTGACACATACAATCCTGGCTACTTGGGAGAGAGATTAGGAGGTTTGTGGTTCGAGGCCAGCCTGGGCAAATAGCTTGAGACACCCTATATACCATTATTAGTGTAAATGTTAATATATGTATTTTAACTTGAATACAGAAACTAATATTATTATGCAGCCCTTTTGATTGGTCTAGGAACTTTTTTTTTTTTTTTTAATGGTAGTACTGGGGTATGAACTCAGGGCCTTACTCTTAAGTGTTCTACTGCTTGAGCTATGCCCTCAGCCCTAAGGAAATAACTCTTTTCCTAAACCTTTTTACCTTTCTGGGTTTTTCTGTTATGATTCCAGTCCTTATCTGGGGACCTAATTATTTTTTACTACCTGATAAATAGCAGGCTTTGCATTTGGTAGTGGTACACATCTTCTTGAATTGGACAGGTTATCATTTCATTTGCTTTGGGTAGTACCAGAGTTTGACCTCAGGGCTTCATTGCTTGCTGTTGGCTACCGTTTTAGCCACTCTACCAGCCTCTACCAGCCCATCACCTGTTTTTTTTTTGTTGTTCAGGATTCTGTACTGTGGATTGGATTTGGGAGATTTACTTTAACGCAAAAGAACTAGACTTTTAGAGGAAATGAAATAATCGAAATATTCCAGGAAAAATGTAAAAACCCACATTGATTTGTTGGAATGAGTATCCTCTTCCTTTACCTTCCTCAAGGGAGCATATTTTAGAAACTGTCCCTATTTGTGTTACATCTTTTCTCCCCTCTCTCCCCACAAGCAGTACTGGGGACTTGAATTCAGGGCCTCATTCTTGCTAGACTGAAGTTCTACCACTTGTGCCACTCTCCAGTCCCCAGGTTCTGTTTTTGAGTTACAACTCTTAACAGGTGGTGAATTTTATATAATTGAAGTATCATTCTAACCAGTGCAGCCAACTTTTATGAACAATGCTTTTTGCATTATTTATAGCTCAAACAAGATTGAAGCTCTTTTTTTCATTGAAGCTCTTTTTTTTTTCATTGAGTGTTTTGAGGAATATCTTTAGTTGAGAGAGTTTAGATATTTTGCCTTAAACTAATTCAGCAATGATTTGTTTTCCCTAGATTAAAATTTACAGATTGTAAATTTACGTGTGAGTTGCCTATAAAAACGGGTTAATTGTTGTTACTAGCTAAAGAAGAGGCAAGAAGTTAGAAGCAATTGAGGTCTCTTAAAATGACAGTTGTTTCCAGCCTTTAGGCAGGGAAATTAAAAATCCATCCGAACCATGCATGGTGGTGCATGCTGTAATCCCTACATTTGTGAGACTGAGGCAAGAGCATCCCAACTTCAAGGCAAGCCTGGGCTACACAGCTAGTCTTTCTCCAAAATAAAACCATTCCTAAATGATGATGACATCACTAGGGAAGCAGTGATTGATTAATAGTTACAACTAGTATATTTACTGAGGGAGACAGGCTGTGCTAGGGTGCTACATTGTTAATGTAATTTAAGTTGTACCTGAATCCTATATTTCAGGTAAGTGGAATTATCTTTATTCTTTAAATAGTTTGGGTGACTTGTGAAGCCATATGGTATACCACAGCTTTAGTGTGATACTAGGTTTCTTCAGTGGGGTGCCTGTTAAACATAAGCCAACAGTACTAGTTGTGGAACTAAGTAGCCTAATTCTTTAAATTATGTAATGTAGTTGAGTAGTGTTTAAAAAGGGCTCATGAAGTCATATCTCTTTCTATAGGATTTTTGATATCTGTAGCTTTACCATCTTCACTGCTACCATTCTAGTCTAAGATACTATTTATACTATTCAGACTACTGAAGAACCCTAACTAGTCTCTCTGCCTCTGTTAAACTTTACATTTGGCAGCATAGATGAGATTACTACATTCCCGTGCTAAAAAATGGCTTCTAAACAAAGCTCTGTCTGGTTGAGTTCTTGGCGCCGCCCCCCCCCATTACCCTTCAAGCCAAAGTTTGCCCCCTTTTTGTTTTCCAAATAAGCTGTGGCCATTTCCACCCCCCAGATCCTTAAGCTATTCTGTTTTCATATGCTTTTTTGGCAGGGGGGGGGGTTGGTGGTTCTGGGGATTAAACTCAGGTCTTCGTGCTAGTTTCAAATGTTCTACGACTTGAGCCACACTCCAGTCCTGTTTTCATATACTTTGAAAGCAGCTCAGTTGTTTTGGCTGCTGACATCTCATTGGGTGCTCTTAGTAGGCCCTCCTTAGCCAGGTGCTGGTGGCTCATGCCTATAATCCTAGCTACTTGGGAGGTTGAGAATGGGAGCATCAAGGTTTGGGACTAGCCCAGGCAAATTGTTCATGAGATCCCCATCACCAAAGTAACTAGAACAAAATGGGCTGGAGGTGTGGCTCAAGCAGTAGAGTACCTGCTTTACAAGCACAATGCCCTGAGTTCAAACCCCAGTCTCATTGAAACCCAAGAAAAAAGAAATGGATGATGTATCATCTGGTATCAGTGGTGGCTGTCTCTTCCCAACCTTTGAAACAGTGCCCCTATATGGTAATTGTTGAATAAATAACCTGACTGACAAGTACCATCTGATAACATACTCCTACATAATTCAGGGGTTTTCTAGCCTTTGTAATTTATTCTGTGCTACTTTCAGGTATAAAGGCTGGAATAGATTAATAACTCATCCCTCTCGGGGTATATGTGGTGTTGCAGG